TTGGAATTATAGAGCAGAGCAGGTATATTGAGATGATAAAAAGAGTTAAGTTGATCAATATCTTGATTGTAGAATGTAAGCATTGAAGTTTGGTTTTGAATTGAGGCTTTGACCTGTCTTATAATGTTGCCAAGTATTTTGAAGCATGAATGTAGTTTAGATGCCTTGAAGAAAAAGATGTGTCAAAAGTTGCAAACTGTAAATTTTTTGTTTGAAATGTGTTGTAAAGCAGCTGCAATAATGCTTTTTTGAATTTTGTACTATGAGGCTTCAAGTGATTCTATGGTGTTAGTTGTAGAAGAAGTCTTGTTAGCTTAAAGATTAAATATAACTTGATTAGCAAAAGCTTGCTAATGGTCTTAGTTTATTTGTTTGTATGCAAAGACTCTTTGTTTGGTTTTGGTAGCTGATCATTATTTTTCAGTAATTATATAAAAAAATTCTCATGATGATATGAGAATTTTGTGATCACTAAGTGTACTTTGGTTAGCATTATCTGTATAATAAGAAGTTAAGTATCGAATAATAAAATAATTAGCCCAGATGTAGTAAATATGACTACTGTATCTGCTGCTATGCCAGGTGGAAGTTAATGATTGTGTATGTTTAGCTAAGTCATATATGTTGTTATATTGGAGAAAATAAATGAGTTTGAGTTTAATTGATAATGATTGTACATTATCAAAAACGTTAAAGTTATCCATAATTATTGATTGTATGCTTTTAGTATTTGCTTCTTGAATTCATTGTATGATATTATTTTGAATAAGAAGTCTGAATTGAAGGCCATCATTAGGTAAATAAACTAAAATAATATGAAATTTAAAGTCATGCCTAAAGAAAAGGTCTATAGCAATAGCATAACCAAAGAATTGAAGTGTTTTGTGAACATGTAGTTTTAGATGTTTTTGAATCATAATTGCTATTCCAGCTTTGCAGCTATTAGTGCAAGACCAGTAATAGGTAAACTGTTAGGATCTAGAAAATTTAGCATTTGCATTGTCTTGTGAAATTTTTGTTTCTGTAATGCTAACTATATTGATGTTATTAGATAAACAATTGTCCTTCTAAACTTGTTGTTTTAGATTATTGTTATATCCTTATATGTTATATATACATATCAATAAGTGTAATAGTTTATATAAAGTATATATAGATGTTTCTTCTATTAGTAGATTGGTGGTAGATTGTGTGTTATGAGTATTAGAGAATGTAAGTTGAGAAAGAGTCTCAGATCTATTGACTATATAATTAGGTGTAGAAGTAACTTATATAGATGAAGATTTAGAAATGGATCTGTAAGAAACAATTGATTAAGTGAGACTAAGTGAATATTAGATAAAGTATTGTTAGGTGTTGTTAGTAAGAATAGATGTTTGTATATTTTATATTGGAAAGGTTGAATGATATAATGTTTATACAAAATAGAATCAGAAAGGTTAGTATATATATATAACTTAGTTTTGTTTTGATTAATAGATATTTTGAAGCTATTTTAAAAGAGTGTTTTCAAAGATAGGATAGGAAGTTTACAAGTGTTATAAGATTATATATAATAAGTAGATTGTGTAATTGTAGAAATTTGTTGTAGCATGTGTTTGTTTCTGCAGAAGGTAAAGTGTTGAAAGCAGAAACTTGAGAGGTTTGGTTGTCTTCTACAGGGTCATTTACCATTTGAAGCTTGGCTTGCACAGCTGTGAAGGATACCATAGCCTGCTCTGTATATTGTATCTGGCCATCATTAACTTGGTTCTTCATGTAAATGAGCTTTACCATCTGCCTACTTACATTATTTTCTTTACCAACTACTAAGAATGTATCTTTTGGTAAAGTGGTAACTGTATTTATGAAGGTTGTAGAAGACAAGTTTATTGAAAAAGAGTCTCTTTAATAAAAAGAAACTCTGTAATTAAAGATGGTATTTTATATTTTATTTGGAATTTTTCTTATATAATTTTGTTTGCCTCAGAATAGGCTGTTTCTCAGAAGTAGTTTGTGATTTGAGGATAGATAAATGTTTTATCACAGAAGTAATAGAAAATTAGAATTCTTGCAAAAAATTTAGTACTGATAGGTTTAGTTGTAAGAAAGTCAATTGCTTGTTGTTTGCTAAGTTTATCTATATTGTGATTTTGGGCTTGATATTTGATAAAGATTTAAATATAGATAGAAATAGTAGTTGTGGCATTTGAAGTTAGTTGAAACATTATTAGCTTTACAAGCAGAGTTTTCTGTATCACTTGCAAGTTTTTTAAGTAATATAGTTAGAATTTGTTTGTTAAAAGATGCTTCATGTTTGCTGTTTTTATAAAACAAGAAAAAGTTAAGTTTGAGTTGTTGTCAAATTTCATTTTCTTGTTTAAGAAAGTCAATATAGGATTTTTGAAAAATGCATTTGAGAAATTGAGAAGAGTGTTCATAGTATTGAGATAGTTCTTCAAAATTGTTAGATTTAACTTCTTTTTCTTTTTTCGATTATTCTGCTACTTTTAAGTAGATGCAGTTAGTATCTGTACAGGAAAGGATGTAATGATTAGTGTATTTAATTGCTTTGTCATAATGTTTCTGTAGGTTGTTAGGTTTTGCGAAGCTTAGTTTGTTAGGCATAATTTCTTTAAGATGAAAAATGAATTTTTGTCAAAATTGGTATTTAAGTGCATTAAAGACCTTAGTTTCATCTATAAGTTTAGTAAATTGGTGATTATATAATAGAAAAAATATTTAAACCACTGTTTAAAGTGGTCAAGTGAATTTTTAAGAAATGAGATGTTAAGTTTTTGTAAAAAAATCGTTTTGGAGATATTAAATTTAAGATATATATTAAATTTGCTATCAGAACTAATTGTAAGATATTGCTTTTCTTTATCAAAGTCAACTACTTCAAATAAGATTCTAAACCTTTTAGGTCAAAGTTAAATATTTTTAGCAAATTTGATATAGTCAATAGCTTGGTAGTTGTTTGTAAGATAAAGGTGAAGACATGCAAGGTTAATGCAAAATTGTAATCAGTTTGGGCTTGTATAAGAAGAGATAGTTGCAGATGAAGCAAATATTTTTAGATAGTTATGTTTTGTAAAGAATACAGTAGTAAATGTAAAAATTAATTTTTTTAAAGTTTCTTCAAATATATTAAAAGGAATTGTTATAGCTTTGTCAATATTTGGATTGTTTTTCTAAATGAAATCAACTAGAAATTGGGGTCTTTCTCCTGCTATTTTGCAGATTATATAGTAGAAGCTAGCTTTAAGAGCTGGTTGGTCACCAATTTTAGGTTTGATATTAGTCCTAAATTTAAAGTTGAATAGATGTTGTTTAAGAAAATTAAAGATTTTTTTTGCAAAGTCTGTTTGCAATTGTGATTTATCTTTCATTTTTTCAGTTATAGAAAAGTTTGCAAGCCAGTCAAATATTGGGTTGGCTTTAGTATTTTGTTGGTTGTTGTTAGTATAGGTTTTGTTTCCTTTTGTTGTTGTTATTGTTTATCTGGTTATTGTTATTGTTTGTCTGGTTGTTGTTATTATTGTAATTGTTTGTTTGAGTATAGTGATTGTTGATTATTATTATTAATTGTATTGTTGTCTAGGTCCATAGCATTTGGGTTGCTAGTATTACCTGCAGGTAATGTTGTGAAAGTAAGTTCAGATGTTAGTAAGTTATAGGAACTGGTCATTTGTTGGAGTTTTTGAATGAATGTAGGAAAGGAACTTGATGATTAAGTAGGTTGTTGAATATTTGTATATATTTTATAATGAGGTTTGTTATTTTATAAAATTGCATCTGCTGTCAGATAATGTTGATTATTCATTTCTTTGCAGGCAATAGGCAAGTTGCATTTAGGTAAGAGTAATGCTATAGGTAATGGTAGAATAAATTCAGTAGAATTTGTAATGTTGTTTGCTAGGAATTTTTTATCTTTAGATTTTTTGTTAGTAAGAATAACTTCATATTGTTTGTAGGTTTGGATGGAAGTTGAAATAAAGTAGGTGTAGAACTTGTCACAAAAGCATGTAATGATAAAACTAGATTCAGGTACTTTAAAGTAATAACAACTTTTAGTTCCTTCTCTAAGTTCTGTAGTTGTATAATTATTTGGTTGCTTGTTTGCAAGAATGAAATGTAATATATTAGCTACATCTTCAAGAATACCAATGCAAAAGCTTTTAAAACACTTTATGTAGAAATAGTCAAGATCAATAGTATCAGATACAACTGTTGTTAAGATCAGTATTTTTTTTAAAAATAGATTTCTAAGTATGTTTTTTAAAAAAATTTATTTAATTTAAAGGTTTCTAAACTAATTAGAAAAGTTTGAAAAAAAGTTTAAACTTCTGATAAGCTGATTGGTGTTTAGAAAATTCTAATGTATACCATTAAAATAAAATTTTCAGAATACTCCAACAAGTTTTCCTAAAATTGCTAATGAAAAAACCTGCAAGAGACAAGTTTTTGTTTTTACTTTTTGCTTGTATTTTTATAAGTTTTGGTCTGTTTTGAACAAAATATATATTAAAATGTTCAGCTCAGTGAGCTGAACAACTTTTGAATAGCAATATAATAGATTTAATTAGTAAAATATTGAGTAAATAAACAAAAAACTAAAAATATAGTTTTTGAAACTTTTTCTGGCACCCAAGTGTTATTAGGACTTAAAACTTAGCTGTCTATGAGTAGAAAAGTATGCTAAATAACTTTACTTAAGAGGTCAAGTAAGGTTTATTTAGTAAAATGTTGAGAAATAATTAATTTTTTTTTGTTTTTTTTGGTATAAGTAATCTATGGAAAGAGTTAAAATCAAGAGTTTGTGCTTATATAAAGATTAAATTTTATAATTGTTATATAAGTTGATTTTAACAATTATATAATTATAAGCAAATATAACTATAAAGAATATAACTATAAAGAAGTTTGAAATATATTTTTAAAATTTTATTATTACTAATACTATATTAGCTATTTTAATTTTATTTTATTAACTTTATTCAGTTACCTATATATCTACTATGTTTTTATATAGTTATTATACTAACAACTTATAGTTAAAATATACTATTAAATCTGAACTTAATATATATAATATTTTGATATTAAAAATACTATTTTTTATAATTATATTTATTTGTTCTATTTATATATTTTATTTGATCTTATTTTTATTAAATTGTATTTTATAATACTTTACTTTTTATATAGTGCTGGAAGCCTATACTCAACAGTTATATTAAGTGTTTTAAATTTTTAAATAACTATAACTTTTTATTTAAGAGGTTTTAAAAAAATTCACCTGGCAACTTTATAGAGCTATATTAGCTTTACATATATGCCAAATATCTTTTCAAAATCTCATCACTGTAAAAAGTTGATACTTTTTGAAAATTGAAATTTTATATATAAATTTATAAATTTATATATAAAATTTCAATTTTCAAAAAGCATCAACTTTTTATAGTGATGAGATTTTGAAAAGATATTTGGCATATATGTAAAGCTAATATAGCTCTATAAAGTTGCCAGGTGAATTTTTTTAAAACCTTTTAAATAAAAAGTTATAGTTATTTAAAAATTTGAAACACTTCATATAACCATTAAGTATAGGCTTTTAGTACTATATTTTTTATTTTTTTGTTGCTGCATACTTTAAAATTAGTTTTATTTGAATATTTTGATTTTTATAATTGTCTATTTTTATATATTTATTATTAGTTTTTTTAAATCTATACTCAAGTTAAATTTGCTGTTACTATTAGTATTTTAATTAATCTATATCTTAAGTTAAATTTGCTACTGCTAATCTTGCAAATGTATCAAATCTTAATATTATACAATAATTTAGTATTGTATTTATTTCTAACAAGATATTTTTTTCTATAATGAGATCCAAATTTTTTGTATTTACAATTAAAACAATTCTACTTATATTTAAAAAGTTTTACTAGTTTTAATAATACTATACTACTATTATTAAAGGCAAAACAGATACCAGATTTGTACTAACATAGTGTTGTCCCAACTTATATTCTCTTTTAGCAAGAATGCTCTTAAAACAAGTCAACTATTGTGCATTAATTGTATTTTGAGAAACTTGGAAGCCAAGTCACTCAACTGAAACAATGTCATAATAATGCAGAATTGGAAACTATAGCTGTTTGTTAAAGTAAATCTGCCTGATTGAGTTAGTTTTTTGTGCTACATAAGGCTATTCAAGGTTCTAATCACAATTATAGATCTGAAACTATTAAGTTCAGTAAGAAAATGTTTGATCTTGGGCTTCTGTACTATCTCTTTTTGTAAAACATCATTTTTGTATATAAGTACATCTTTTTTTAAGTTGTAATAAAAAAAGAACCAAGTAGTATTATAATTATTAATACTAGCTAAAATAATAATAAAAACTATCTTAATAATAAACCAAGACCTTGCACTCATGCCTTAGTCTTGCCAAATTATTTTGCCTCTTTCATGATGCAATATTTCATGATGTTTGATATTTTTAAGCAACAATCCATTACATTTTTCTTGCCCCTGTATTCTGCAAATCCAATTTCCTTCTAACACTATATATTGCAAGTTTTTAGCTTATCCAATAATATTTTTAGAATAGTTTTAATTATGTTTAAGAAATTATACTAATACTAATAATATTATACTATTTTATAGATTTTATCTTACATTGATTAGTTAATCTTAGTTTTGTTTATTATTAACTTCTATATAAGTACAACCAAAAATAATTTTATATTTATTCTTTATATATGAAAGTATACATTAATCTTTAAAATTTTTCTTCTATAACTAGATTATTTAACTATGTTAAAGATGTTTTTATATTGATTAAACTAATTCTTTATTATAGATTATTTTTATGCTTGTTACTTCTTTTGCTATTCTTGTATTAATTATTTTCAGGTTATTCTCACAATTAAATTCTACTTCTTAAATCCAAATTAGAACTTATTTATATAATTTATTGCTTATTCTTTCAAGCAAGTACTCTATAAGTTAAGTATAAAAATGTTGCTTATTTAGAAAGCACAAAAATATTAATACTGTTCTTGTCTTAAGACTTATATGTGCAATTTTTCTATAGTTATAAAATTTTATAATACTGCTATTATACATAATGTCTGCACTTTATAATTGAGTTTTATTCTAAAATTTTTTGTTCTAAATTCATATCTGTGCTTGAACTTTACTATAGGACTTCATATATGATTAATGACTCTAATAGGTTATTGATCAAATTTGCCTTCAGACCAACTTGAATTATCACCTTATCTGTAAAAGGTTTGGAAGCTTATTTGCTAAGCTATAAGACCCAAATCCTACTACATATATTTGGTTTAGTTTTTTATTAAACTCCGATTTCTTAGTTTATTTAATTGTAACTAAGTAAAATTTGCTGCTTTGCTCTGATTTAAACATATACTGTATATAACTTTTAATATTTGTTTACATTATACACAGTATTTAAACATAATAGTACATAAATATATTAATACTAATACTACGTATTATTTAATAATATTGATATTTTCATATTTCTTAACTTTTGATATTGCCATTGTGCTTTTCTTTAAAATCATCCTATAAATATTATATAATACTACTATTATGTACTGAATATTGCTACAACCTTAATCTAATTATAATAATTAAGCAACAAAAACTTATATGTAAAGTAAATTTCTTAAAAATAATAGTTAATACTCTTTGCATAAGTTAATAGAACTCAACGTGAGATGTAAATTTAATACAATATGTTAGTACATAAGATAACATGATGAATTCTATTATTATATAAATTTTTAATTTTTAGCAGTTTTAATAAAAAAATTTTTTATGATAAATAATAACATTAACACCTTAAAATAATACTATACCTGATTCGTGAATTTTGATAATTATTTAACCAATTAGTAAAGGTAATAATCACATGTTTAGTGAGATAATACTAAATTCGTATCTCAGCATAAAATAGCGTTACTAGAAAATGGCACCATTTCAGATGCTATAAAAATCACTGCCTCTAATCATTACTATTGATGTCCCAAATCATGTGATATTAGTATAGGAACCGTCAATGTTACACGATTGATCCTTCACCCGATGTGCAACATATAAAAACTTATTTTACAATACCAGGTTATTCGTTAGTACATGTTATTATTATAATCCCACACCATTTTATTATAATAAAAATGGTGTGGGATCTGGGACGGTGAATACTTCCATTCCATTTTATTCCGATATAAATTGACCAATCAGGACTTGCATCTAGCGCTAGATACAAGTTTTGATTGGTCAATTGATATTGGAATAAAATGGAATGGAAGTATTCACCGTCCCTGTGTGGGATTATAATTACAACATGAACTAGCGGAATGATTTGGTATTGTAAATAAGTTTTTATATGTTGCACATCGGGTGAAGGATCAGTCGTGTAATATTGACAGTTCCTACTGATCGCTATACTAAAGTATAGCGTTAGTTTCGGCTACTTTTTTTCTTATTGCCGAAACTATTTGATACTAACTGACTAGTTTGGGTTACAACATTAGTTATTACTTCGGAACTATGATTAAAAATAAATAATTCAGTCTTACCCTTGTTATAATGATCTCCGTTATAGTGGATACCTCGTTATAACGGAGAATTCTCAGGAATAATTTAAAATTATTATTATTAAAATGTATAATGTTATAGCAGATATTCATTATAACGAATAAAATTTCTCTGCCCGACCACTATATTATAATGAGGGTAGACTGTATAAAGAAATTAAATTTTTTAAAAAGCATTATGTCTTTTGACATTTAAATAAAAGGTTTCATTCCTGGTATTGCATAACAACATATAACTATCTAGCGAATGTAAGTAATTCGTGTAACTAATTCACCGATAGTTAATAAAATAATGGATTGAAGATAAGTATATGCACAAAATTTATTAAATATGATTATGTTAATGAAGGAATCTGTTACTAATTCTAATCTAATATTCTTATTAGAGTCACTTCTTATTATTAAAGGGATTTTAAGACAATTATTACTAAGAGTAATGTTGAACGTATAACTGATTTGGACCTGTATTAAATAAACAAAAACTAAAAATGCAATTATACAAATAATACTAACTAAAACTAACTCTAAATAATTAACATTATTTAGGTATATTATTATAAGGAACATTAAAGGGATATTGTTATTAATCTATTTGTCTTTCAACTGGCCATTCAAAAGTACCAGAGAGTACCGTTTATATACTTATTCTTTGTTTTGTCAGTTCGGTACGCTTTACGTCAGTTATTAACTTTGTCCGCCAGTTACTAACTCTTACTGTTAGTTATTAACACCTTCCGTTAGTTATTAATACCTTCCGTTAATTATTAGCTTTTCATACCAGCTAATGCCCAACTTCAAAAGTTCGTAACAGTACACTCAGTTTAGAAATCTTCCGCCATTGTGGCTTTACCAATTCAGTAATTCAAAAAAGAAGGAATATAATTTAAGAAATTATGGAAATTTTTATTTCAGGCGTAAAAACATCAATTTTTTTTGACCAATAAAATCAAATAAAATCGTCGGCGCCTAAAAAAACAAAAAAATAATGCGATTTGGTTTGTCGAAAAAAAATCGATGTACACAAACGGATGTACACGGAATCATTATTAAATACAAAATTTTGTAAACTTAGATGCATCTAATAATATAGTACGCTTTTTTAACAATATATATTTCTGTATTGTGAAAATTATCTAGTATATAAAGTCGTATATATATTTATGTACCTACACACTAGTATTCCTTTAATAATTAGATTTCAAGATGAATCCTTTTCGAACATCGTTTTTTTCGCTAATAGTTATTAGTTTAGCGTTCACAATCGTGGCAGGTTTTAGTCCTGATGGTCGAACTGGACAAGCTAGCGTTTTAACTGGGAACAAAATCTACTTTTTTGGTGGCTATAACCAAAACCCACGAATTACTGATCAAGTAGTATATCTTAATTTATCGACTTCATTTAGTATAACTTCACCTTCATGGGATCAAATTGTTATTTCGCTAATTCCAACTCCACTTTTTGATGCTATGCCATGTCTCTCTATTGACGGTTCCAATGTTTTCTTAGTCGGTGGATTATCAATGAACAAACAAAATTTATCATTTACTTATCCACCATCATCTGTCTATAAATTTGATTTTAATAGATTACAATGGACGACTCCGGATATTGATAATTTTAATAAAACCTTTGTAGGACGTGTAGATGCAACTGCTGTTGCTGACAATAATGGAAAATATTACATTTTTGGAGGAGATTTTGAAAACTTAACAACAGCAAGCTCTAATTCTACAACAAACGCTTCTTTTTATTATAATGACATGAATATTTTTGACACAAAAGCAATGTAATGGTCAACATTAATTTTGTCTAGTGCCCCACTTGCTCGTATATCTTATAGTGCCGTAATAAAAGACAATCTTATATATTATATTGGCGGTATAAGCAATTCCTCTGTTACTGATATAACTGAGGTATTTGTAATTTACGATTTTTAGAAAACTTTCAAATTTATATGTCGTATAATAATATGTTGTATAATAATAATTGAATTAAATCAAATAGATTCCTGTATTTGATACTACGAATTTAAAATGGTACCTTAATGTACGTATCACATACTTGCTACACGCGATAATAATTTAAAAGAACATATCCTTGTTATTTTTAGAATGCTAAGGGTGATTCAATTACTGCTCGTTTAGGAAATTCAGCTGTTTTATGTACGTGCTTTAAAATAATGTTTCTACAATTAATTATTTATTATTATAATTGTTTATAATTATTTATAACATTATTCTTAAATAGCTCCAGATGGACTTATTATTATTTATGGTGGACAAGGAAAAAATGGCCTTCAACCACAACCTGATGTTGCTTTATTAAATGTAGGTGTTTCACCGTATATGTGGACGGCTATTAAGGATAAAGCTCCACGAGGACTTAAGTATCATTCAGCAATAATATACGGAAAATATATGATCGTTACATTTGGTAATAATAACGTTCTAACTTGGCTTGGCTTAGTGCTCAAGATTAATTTAAATATAACAAAACTTTAGCGAACTATAATTCTCTAATGTTGTATTATATCTTAGATTAATCCATTTGGTGTACTAATTTTATAATAAAATTTCTAACTCAATTATTTAATTTTACTCTATGTCTAGGGGTTATTGTTCCTTCACAACCACAACAACCAAATTCATCATCTACATTCAATAGTGATTTATATATCTTAAATACACAGGATTATACATGGATTAACTATTTTGATGCATCAAATATCTATAGTCCTGATAATTCACTTTCATTAGGTGCAAAGATTGGTATTTATATAGCTGTAGTGGTTGCTCTTGTTGTCATGATGATTGCTGGATTTTTCATTTATAAGAAATTTCATGTTCGCAATAATTATCGTAATTCTGTTCCAACCTCTGGCACATCACATATAGTTTATTAAATGTTTATTTTTTTTATAAATACGCCAGAATTGCTACTAAATACAGTAGTTCTTACTTTTATTTTCACTTATCTTTTTTTTACCCTTAATATTATTATTGGCTTTTTTTCAATTATTTTTATATTATAATAGCAATCTATTTGTATTATTCGAGTATATAGAAAGAATAATTCATGCCATAATAAAATTAATGGCTACATAAATTTAGGGTGATATTTATCTTATTTAAAACAAAAAAAATCAATGTGAATGAGAATTTTTAACATATAGAATTTGTAAACTTATGTGTTGTATGTCGGAATCAAATTTTTTTTGATTCTAAATTGACTTAAGTTGAAACGAAATTCGAATTCAATTTCTACTTAATATGTTGATGAACACTAATTTCATTAGATTTTGGAGATGTTCTAGAAATCAGGAACGGTAAATTTGCCAATTTTGTAAATGAACACCATTATGGTCAATTAAATTTAGGTCTTTATCTTTGGTAGTGTTATGGATAAAATCCGATCCTAGGACCAAGAAGAATAATCGAGTAACAACCCACAAAATGCACTATGAAAACCGTCATACCATGATATCCGTGACCCAGGATAAATGTTCTCATTTAGTGACAGCGTCGATCCCATTGAGAAAAAGCCACCCGCCAGATTTGGAAGCTATCTGTTAAGGTAATATTACCTTGACAGGTAAAGTCTGTGGTCGTGCTAATGCGTTGCCATATGCTGGGTTGTGTGTCATCATGAGAAGAATGAAAATTCAATGAAAACTGCTAAAGTAATGATGGATGGGTTGTAGGAAAAAGAGAAAAATGTTAGCAAATAAGGGTAAAACGGCTTATGTTAATGAGAAAAAGTGTGTCAAAGCTGTGTTTAAAATTCCCCTTGTAATTCTTTATAAATATGGTTCACATTCCCTCTTGTAATGTACTGAATCACCTTTAGAATAGAAAGACCTTTCGACCTTGTAACCATAGATAGCCGTCCTATAGAAAAAAATTATAATTAATAATCTAACTTGTGCCAAAAATAAAATAATACATTCCTTTAAATCCATTTGCATTACATCTGGATTCTCTTTGTAACGCTCTCAAAAGCCACCTTTGACCAGTGCCAAATCATAACTGCCTCACCTGCTTTTGAGTGATATTATGCAATGTCAACGATTCCGAAATAACAATATGTCACATTCTTCCTTTTCTAGAGGTGCCGTTCCTGAATCTATAGCCCATATTAGTAGCAAACAATTGGGCACCTCCTGTAATTTTGAGCAATTAAAATTTAAATCATGTGTAATGTGATAGTCAAAACCGGTGTTGGCCATTTTAGGTCATATCCAAATTTATATGACCAAGTGGTCATAAATTTTATAAGTCATAACAAGTCATAAGGTCATAACGTATAATTGTTCGATAGGCCATAACAGCTCATATTCCAACACTGGTCAAAACAAACTTAGTTTGCTTTCTAAGTAAAAAATTGTATGTAAAATTAAATCTAAGTGAACTGCTGATTTGGGAGAATACAAATAATAAGAATACTAAGAATAGTCAACATTAGTGAATGAAGAGTTTAAGAGGGTACGATAGAGGAGCTATATGGGTGTAAGATATGGATAATAATAGGTGAGAGATTAATGTAATGATCTTAAGAGTAGGGTATGTAGATCATTTATTATATGATTTTTTGTATTACAATAAAATTTGTATAGAAAATGAAAATATATTACTAATAATTGTAATTATATAATTTTAATCAAAATTTTATAATATAAAAACATGTTTTTTTTTATTTTAAAAAATTTTAGTAAATAAAATATTTAAAAAATACTTTTATATGTTATAAAATCTTTCTTAATTAGTTTGAATTTGCCTTATTTATACAAATTGATCAATTCTGACAGACTACATCACCTAATCCTTCCTTATTTTCAACCTCTAGAAGTTAATGCTTTTGCATATAATATTTCACCAATCAAGAAAAAACTTAAATCTTGGCTACTTACCTACAATAATAATAATAAAGAGATCATTATTGGCAAAATTCGCAAATATTTTCCCAATACAAACTAGTTCTCTATCTCACATTGGAATATGAATATTGATTTAGAACATAATCACTATTATCCACTCCCAGATGTAGACTGCACTCCATGTACTGGATGTCATTTTAACTCAAATAGAGTTAAGCAAATATGTACAATTAACATCTCAGCAACTATCTGTACTAGTTTTTTAGAAAGAAAAACTTCTAAATATAAATTCAATGCTAACTACTTGGATCTTATTTATTCAATAGCAATTAAACATTCTTTACAAGTTCCTTATAACTATTCTACTATCAATATATCAAATTTAACCATTACAAAAATCTTTAAACCCAATAACTATTTAGTTAAACTTGAAAAAAATTTTCAAAACAATTTATCTTATAAAGAATTTACTTTTTATACAGATGGATCAGTAACTGATATTGGAACTGAACAAAGCTCAATAGGCATTGGATAGGTTCAAATTGATAGTAACAACCAAGTTCTTTATAAATTTTCAGCTAAAATCCATCTTTGGTCATCAGTTTATAAGGCAGGATTCTTTTCTATCATATTTGTTATCTCAACTGTATCTTGTAATGCAACACTTCAAATCTATACTAACTCACAATCAGTCATATCTAAATACTACAAACTCTCTACACAACTCAATAATCCTAACAAACTTTTTAAATTTAATACATGGTCATTATAGCATATACTTCTTAATATCATCAAATTCTTCAATTTAAATATCAACTTTCATAAAGTTCAAGCTCATACAAATAATATCTTTAATAATTTGGCTGACTCCTTAGCAAAACAACATACCTTCTTCTTGTTTTTAAACTTTTAATATACAAACATTTACAATCCTTTTTATATTTTATAATGAAAACAAAATTCTATTAAGTTTCCTACCCAATATTTTATCAAAAATATTTGTAAAGCTCATATATTGGCAATGTGGTCTTCACAAAAAAGAAACAATGAATGATCTCATATTAACTACTATATAGATTGACAATCAATATAGCTATATCTCAATCATAACCAAAAACTCTCATCCAACTTTACTAGTTTCAAACTCAATCAGTTTAAAGTCTTTAAATCAAAGCTCTACTAAATGAATTGCCAACATACTTTTCTTTTCACAACATTTATCCAACTATCTTTACAAATACTAACTACTTCTAATATAATCTTTCTAACTCTTACTCACACTGACTAACTTGTCTCAACACTTCTCTTATAACAAACATTATTTATTCATTAATTCAGTATATTTTATCTAAAGCAGAACTTAACTTATCTACTAGCCAACTTTATGAACTTATTCGAAAAGTTCAAAAACATCCTTCTTTTGATCGAATACCATTTCAAGCAAACTCTTTCTATCTGGATCTTATTCTTAAAGGTCTTATATTTAAAGCTTTAATTGAAACAATCCATAATTATAATATATCAACTAAGATAGCCTCACAAATTATTATTCAAACACTCCTTGATATTAATAATCAAATTTACTACTAAATATAAAAACCATACTGCATTAACCTCTCTAACTAGAAAAAGAATAATAATATTACATCTCTTCAAACTTGTAATACTCACAATACTTCATAACAGATATAACAAACCAAACATTACAAAAAATCACATTCAAATTATATATACTCATGTCTATATGGAATAGCAGATCAATTACACTTACATCCTAATACTTGTTTACCAATTGGACAGGCTATTAGAAAAATCAATATATGGTCAATACTTTGGATTAATCATAGCACATTTTATAATTATATTTTAATATTACAAATCTAGATGAACCTTGACTACTATAGTTGGTATAGGTCACAGATAATGTTGTCTAAGCTTTAATTCTTATATGTAGTTTTTATTTTGTATTTTACAATCTTAATATATCTTTAATATATAATATATTAATATGTACAACTAAAATTACTAATAAAGATATGAGCAAGACCTCACCTTAATACCAAAAAAAAAAAAAACAAATTGATCAATTTTGATTGGTTTATATTATATAATTTTTGTAAATAATTTTGATATTAATATTTAAATATTTATATCATATCAAATATTTAACAAATTTTAATAATTTTACTATTATTAGAATTAAAAAAATCTTATTATTTAATTTTATTTTATAATCCAAAAATAACTTAAATAAAAAAATAAATAATTAGTTAAGAAACTATGAAGATGAATTTATAATATAATAATAATATAATAAATAATTTTATAAACTAGGTTTATAATAATAAGACAATATAAGAATTTAATAAAGATTTAATTAATTTAAGTATAAAAATTAAAGATTTAATAATAGAATAAATTTAAAGATAACAATAAATAAATTTAAAAATAAAAATAAAATCTTAATAGTAAAATAATTTTAAAGATAAATATAAAGCCTGAATTAATTTTATTAACAATTAGAAATCATATATATATAAATTGTTAGAGCATTCTATTAATGATATAACTTTCTTTTACCTGTAAATTATATAAAACTAATTATGTATTATTCTCTAATTCTAAATTTTTTTGTTAATACAAATACTTATATATTTAATCTGAATTAATTTTCTTTATTTTTTCTTAAATGAATTATATTTAAAATATAGAAAACATTAACATTAACTAGAAAAATAACAATGAATTTTCAATATTTTGTAAGAAAATTACATAGTGCATATATAGAGACTTGGGTCTTTTAATTCAGTATAAAAAAGTGTTGCAATTTTATTTTAATTTGAATAAATGCTGAGACAAATAGTCAGAAAATCACCTATTGTTTAAAAAAGTTTGTGAATTTTACAAAAATGTCAAAATGATAAAAATATTTTGTAAAATTTAAAGTATACAAAATAAATATTAAAAATATTAAAAAATTATATGTAAACATGATTGGTAGAGGAATTAAATCCTTTATTTTTACAAATTTTCTTAGATGAGAAATTATAAGATTGACTATTGATGATAGTATTCATCCTATATGAGGGTGGCTTTATCATCAATTTGATTAATAGATAATTTGATGATCAAAATAAACCTTTTATTGAAAGGTAAAATATAACTTAATAAATAAGGATAGTTTTAAATAAAACTATTAATGTTAATAAACAGTGTTGATTTTTCTTAGATCTTTAATTATTTTAGTGAATAAGGCTGGAACAGCTAAGGCTGAAAATTAGAAACCTCAATTTATAAATATAATTATCCTAAATTTTGAAAATATATATTAAAATAATTTAAATTTTGAACTTCAATATGATAATTATTTTTTTTTATAACTCTTAGTCTTACTTTGCCCAACCTCTTTTCAAACCCATAATATTTTAATTTTGTAATAACTCTTAGGCTCATTTTACCTAGCTTTATTTCAAGTTTTGAATTTTTTTTTTTTTATACAAAGCATTCATGAGTAATTTTGTGTATATTTTTTATATTACAAAATTAAGCCTTAATTATATTATAAATTATATAAATATAATTTAAATTTAAAAATGTCAAATTCTTTGTAGCAATCTTTTATTACAATATGTCTTTGACAATTAGTAATTATCAATTAATCTGTTTGGTAAAAATTCAATAAACAATCATAAATCTAATTAGGCAGGTAATAAACAAGCTAAATAACCTCACTTATAAATGAAATTACAAGACCAACATTATTGTGAATCACTAGACCTTTCAGGGGGTTTCTGCACAATGTCAATTATAATCTATAATAGTATTTGAGTAATTAGATGATCTTTTTTTTTCTGTATTCTTGATTTTTTCTGCTTAACATTGTGTTTGGTAGAAGTTGCTAAAGCAAGCAATATTTAAATAATTAGTAGTTCATTTTACTTTTAATAAACATAATAGAGAAAACCCAAAACTTGTCCATTGATAATAATAATGATATTATTACTCAGAGTAAAGTTAACCTGATAGTAAATTGGAATCACTTGTAAATAAGTGATCTAAAATCAATATTTAAAATATAATATTTCTTCAGAAGGAACTAAGGCAAACCTTGTAAACCACTTGAAGACTTTTTGAAATAAATCAAATAAGAATAATCCTAAACTATTAAGGATAAAAAAAAAAAGTCAGTTAAAATAAATCCTGGCAGTGTTTATAAAAAAAGTGAAAATACTCGTGTATTAAAGAAGATTGAAGAACAGAATTATGAATTCTTAGCTTATATAGAAGAAAAATTAAAAAAAAAATAGAAAACTCATTATCAAAGATGTTAAATAAAAGTTTACAGCAATGGTCTAAATCAAAAAATTGGTTTAATGCAACAGAAACTAGTTTTCTTAATAAGAAATTTAGAAAACAATAAGATCAGCATGAGCATGATATAATTTTTAATGCAGGTTCTCTATTCTACCAAGCTATTTAAAAAGACTCAAAAGAAAAAGCTAAGAAGGCTTAGGAGTTATTAAGACTAAAAGCCTTTGTTCTAAGAGTAGTTGAACATGAAAACTAAAGCATAGTCACAATATTCTAAAACCAAATTCTAATAAAAGTAATAAGTTTCAGAATCTTCTTATAGAAGCAAGAAAACAAGCTAAATTTCAAAAAAAAGACCATCAAATAGAAAAAATTGAAGAAACAAAAAATATAATCAACTATAAACAAATTCAAAATAAAACTACTATTCATCCTATTAACCCAATTCTATGCTCAATACTCATCTATATATTAAGGTTATCAAAGACAGAATGTATTACAAACTCTAGACCAGTTTTTCAAAATTCATTTATAAAAGGTTTAAATAAACAGATTACATGTTACTATTGTAACAGTGTTGGTCACATAGCATTAGCATGTGCTTCAAGAGTTACAGAAAGTAATTCAATAAATAGTAGTTTTTTTTAGAACAAAAGTAACAACAAAAATGAGTGACTACACCCAAGTAAAGACAGGTCAAATGAAAAAAAATCCAAGAAGATAGAAGTGGAATCAGACAGAGACATAGTTGAAAGAATTTACAAACTTGCAGCAGTAAAGTATTGGCTAGAAGTATAAATTCTTCACTAATAATAGTATGTTGGTTAAAAAATTTGATGCCTCTGTTTCTAAGAGATGTATAGAAACTTGTCAAAATCAAAATTTCAAAATCTTATTATTTAACTTTAGATCAAAAAATATGGTTAAAGGAGAAAATTCATTGACTAAAAAAATTGAGAGTAATAAAAAAGATAGTAATGACATCTTTTTGCCCAAATGCCTTATTAAAGGTTTTTCTAGTGCTCTTAATACCAAAATTAGGACCAAAATGTTTCTGTCTTGTGATAAACCTAAGAAGATTAAATAAGCAGTTATCAGAAAAATCATTTTAGTCAAAAGACTTGGAGGGCTCCTGAGATCAATAGGAAAGGACTGGTCAATAATTATTTTGGATTTAAGAGATGTTTATCATTATGTATTAATGAGCAAAGAGGCACATTGCTTTTTGAGATTTTGTATAAAACACTCATGATATTAGTATCAGGTTTTACAATTTGGTCTCTTCCAAGTAGTCTAAATGTTTTCAAAAATTGTAAGAGTATTAATTGCCTATTGGAGAAAAAAAGTGATAGTCTTAGGCTCAAATGTGAATGTTATATGAATCATCCACTCTTTAGCTATAATATTAGAAAAAATTTAGAACAAAATTATAGTACCAGACCTGATAAACTGTAGTTTTGTACTGGCTTAAAACAAGAGCAGCCCAGAGCTATCAAAAAAGATAAAATTTTACAGGCTAATTAAAGATATAGAAAAGGTGCAAGTAATTGTGCCAGAATAAAAGTTAGTAAAACAAATGACTGCTTAAAGGCACTTTATACAAAACCTAGGTATTAGCAAGACATTTAGCAAGAGTTACAGAAAAGGTTCAAAGCTTAGCAATAGCTTTTGCTCTAACTCAAGTAAAAAGTTTCAAATTTTATTCCCTAATAGATATAATGAACAGGCTAAACTGGGAATAGGACAAAAAAATTTGATTAACAGACCAGGCCAAGTTAGACCTAAGTTGATTAGTAAACAATTTAAAAAAATATAATGGTAAACCAAGTTGGAGACTATCTTGTGTAAAGTCCTTATTTATGAATGCCTTAACAACTGGTTAATATGCCAAGTTAAATGGTTTAACAGCTTTTAAAAACTGGTTAGAAAGACAATCCAGCTGGGAAATTGCAAAATTAGAAACCAAAACAGTTCTACTAGGATTACAAAATTTTGCAAGCCAATTACAAGGCTCTTGGGATCTAATATTTGTAGACAGCCATATAGCCCTTACAATAATGCAGTTGGGCAACCAATGTATTTGACAAAAAGAAACATACAGAAATTTGTGATAGATTTGTCTGGAAAGAAATATTTGGGTCTACAAAATAAGATGGGTACTATCATTAAAGAACCTAGCAGATCTATGAATTAGAATTTTGATTCCTCAAACTGATATATTAGAGAAGAAGTCTTCTAATTAATAAATGTGACATTTAAGCTACATTCGATAGACCAGATAGTCTCCTATATAAATACCAAATTAAGAAGATTTAACAGCTATCATTTTTGTCCAAAGTTAGAGGCAGTAGACTGCTTCACCCAAAGATAAGAAAATGAATTAAATTATATCTGCCCTCCTTTGCACTTAATACAGAAGGTTCTTTATCATATAAAAAACTATAAGGCAAAAACAATGATAGTAATCCCACAATAGATATCAGCAGAGTAGTGGCCACTTCTTCTAGAGCTAAATTAGGAAACAATCAATCTGCTGAAACCAGGAATCACATTTCTACCAGGCCCATCAGGATTTGTAGAACCTTGGAAAAACCAAAAATAGAAATTTTTAGCAGTGCATATCTATCCATAAAAGAGTTATTAGAAAAGGCCAAAATAATAACTGAAAGTTCAGTATCTCCCTTTTACAAAAGCAGACTAGAAAAATACTGGAATGTCTATAAAAACTTTTGTAAAAGGTTTGACTTGGATCCTGAAAACACACAAGAGGATGAAATCCTTGCATTTGTTATGTAGTTAGACATATTAGGTTTTATATTACAAATTACTCAGACCTTTCAGGCTGTAGTAACTAAGCTGCATTTTAAAGAAAAAAAAGGCTTTAGAAAATCATTAATAACAACACAAGTTCTAAGAGCTATAAGAAAAGAAGTAACAAAAAATAAAATACTAGTTTGACCACAGGATCCATTACCAATGACAGCCTTAAGGTATTATTTAGACATGCCACCAATCTGGCAAGATAGACTTATGTATAAAAGAGACCTAGCATTGGTAGCCTTAGGCCTAAGAACAATAAGAAGACCTGGAGAGTTAAGTGACCTAAGTTTGAGAGACATAAGGTGGAACAATGAAGAGATCCTGTGGGTAAGAATCTGCAAGTCCAAAATGGATCAGTTCAGAAATGGCAGATTCATACCTGTTAAAAGTACAAAATCGAATTACTACTCAGTTAAACTTTTGAAGCAATATCTAGTTGTTTACCCAAAAACAGGTCCAGAAGACCCTCTAATTTTGTCAAATCAAGAAAGAAAAATGTCAGTTTCAGCAATTGGCTCAGTTGTAAAATGATTCGCAGAATACGCAAGTCTAACAGGTCATTTTACAACCTACTCATTAAGGATAAGAGGGGCTACAGCTGCAATGATAACAGGTATAAGCCTTACACAGATCCGAGCCATTGGTGGTTGGGATTCTAAGGTAGTCATGCTTTATCTGAGGATGTTCTCTATTGCAATCTGATTGGATAGGTTTTTAGGAAAAAAAAAATTTTTTTTTTTAGAATATAATGTAACAAGGTATGAACTAGTTAACAAAAAGGAAATAAAAATTTGAGAACTGGGCAATTGCCATAGTTACCTATCAAATGATCCTTGTTAACAGTCCCATATTGTATTACAGAGTTGTGCAGATATGTATTGTTGGTCACGGAAGTTGTTCTTCTGTAAGAAAGAACAGGTTCCATGACAAACAATAATAATGACCCTGCTTGTAAATGAAGTTACAAGGCGGGACATTATTGTGAGTCACTGGACCTTTCAGGGGGTCTCCGTACAATGTCGATTGTGATCTGTAATAGTATTTGAGTAACTAGATGATCTTTTTTTGTTCTGTGTTCTTGATTTTTTCTGCTCGACATTGTGTCTGGTACCCTCCTACCACACCCAAAAATATTTAAAGCTCATTATACTCGTCAACTTCTGGTCACATGATATGTGTTTGCTTGCTATAGCGACCTTATCCAATATTGTATTACAGAGTTGTGCAGATATGTATCGTTGGCCACGGAAGTTGATCTTCTGTAAGAAAGAACAGGCTCCATGACAAAAAATAATAATGAGGATTATCATCATCTTAACGTTACAACAGCCATTGTAATTGCAAATATCCTAAATATTTTATAAAAAAGATAAAACTACACATATATAATATATAAATCTAATAAAGGTATTTTTGAATAGAATTTGAGCGTTCTCAAATCTCAACCTCGACGTGATTAACTCATGATCGTATTCGTGCAATCTATAATTATATTTACGTAAAATTTTTGATGCAAATAAAGAAGTAATCAAAGTTTGCTCAAATGTTATTCTCTATGTGATTAGCTATTAAGCACGACGATACAATTGATACTTAATTGTAGTATTAAAAAATTTATATTTTGCAAACAGTCGCAACAGAAATCTCTATTATTATAGCTATTCTTAATTTATCACTAATAGTCTGCTCTGTGTTCTTGGATAAAGTTTATTAACTCTAAGGCTAATATGATAACCATTATTTGGATTGGTACAAAATTTAATTCGATATTTTTTATTGTGGAAGTTATTGATTTAAGTACTTTAGTATTACGTTGTTTAGTGATCGCATCTTTTCTCATGATAGATATACAGCTAACACTGTCAAAAACCGATAACCTCCCGTAGCTGACAGAAAATCAATCTACCATGTTCATTCCATAATCTAAATTTGGCAACCACTTTTGATAACAAAGTTTCAAGAAATATGTCTATTAGTTGGTAAATATTGTATATTCTTTAAACAATCATATTAAACACTAATCACAGTGTGATTAATGTTTATTATTAGTAATCATTATATTATCAAAATTTTTTTTCAAATGTTACATTATAAGTCCATTTATATATTTTTGTCTTAGAATTCATAGATTATTAATAAAACTGTATTTTAACTTTCTTAATTATATGATTCTCTTCATGCTTATATATATATATATTTTGAATAAATTAAGCAATTTTATTGCTTTCGAATGAGTTATCAAGCTTTATTATATGACAAGATGAATAACACTTTGAAACTTGTTTGGCATAATCATTAAATACCATTTTTTACAAATTCTAAGAGGTAAAAAAATTGTCACTAATATATCCGATAGATTTTTCGGCATATGCTGTACTGTTTGAATAAATCTGTAAATAATTTAAGCTCCTTAAGTGAATAATCTTAGTCATACTTAACTTATAAGTGAGAGCTTTCTTTTCAAGAGCTTTCTATTTATTGTCCGAAACCTAACTAGGACCTATTCAAATAATGTAAATGACTATAATATAATGTTTGGCGAAAAAAAATAAAGTTCAAATATCTTATTAGCAGAATGCGTTAGGTTACAGGGTAATGAAACATTTACTGCAGCCCTAATTGAATTCTAATGAATTGTTTGAGTCCCAGTACAATTTTTTTTGTTTATAGGTCAGTGACAAGATAACTATAATTTATCGCGTATATTATAGATAGAACTATTTATGATAAGGTTTGAATGAAAATTTTTTTTAATTTTTTTTTTTTTTGTATTGTGAATATTGTAATGTTCCCATCGAAACAAATTTCCTGAAGTATAATGTAAATAACATCATCTTTTCACTTTTACAAGTTTGCACAATTCTTGTAATAATATCTGTTTTATTTCAACAAAACAGCTTTTTTATTAAGATTAAATACAGTCAACTCCGCAATAAATAAAAGCTAAAGTTAGACATTTTATGTGCATGTTGTAAGTGGAAGCGGAATCTAAGTGTATTCAGATTTTCTAATAAGGTGTTCAGATAATAAAATCAACCCAAAATGATTCCCTTTTACTTACAACATGCATATTGCAATATTATGATTAATATGAGTAAGAATTTATAATTAGATAAAAAATCATGATGATTATAGTGACATGCGTGGGTACGATCAATGCAAAGTTATGAAAAAAGTTTATACGATTCTTTATCGTTATTAATGAATTAATTATAGATTTTTATTTAATATATTGACCTTCAACAAAAGTAATTCGAATTGGATTAAAATTCAGATTCAAAGAAATTAAATATTTTGTAAAAAGCTTATGCTCATGCTAACTTCGACTATGATTAAGATCAAAAAATGTAGGATATATTTCATGTAAAGAACCTTGCTAATAGCTTCCCCTTTTAAAAAATTGTACCATTAAAATAAATCAGAGTAGTATTTTTGCATAATATTTCTGCTAACGTTATCCTTCTTTCAGATAAAATAATGTTTACAAGGACAAAAAGGATAGAAATCTGCAAACATTTTTTCTTCGAAATCGATGTCATTATAACTGAGATCCAAAGAAATTAGTGTAGTGTTCTTGTCGAGTGCATCTGCTAATGCTTTCCTCCCTTCGGAATCAATAACATTATAACTAAGATTTAAAGAAGTTAGTTTAGTGTTCTTGCATAAAGCCTCTGCAAATGCTCTTCCTCCTTCAGAACAAATATTATTACTACGAAGATCTAAAGAAGTTAGTGTGGTGTTTTCGCATAAAGCTTCCGCTAATGCTTTCCCTCCCACAGAATTAAGTTGATTACATCTAAGATTTAAAAAGGTTAGAGAAGTGTTCTCGTATAAAGCATCTGCCAATGCTTTTCCTCCTTCAGAGTTAATAAAATTATAACAAAGATTTAAAGATGTTAAAGTAGTATTCTTGCATAGAGCCTTTGCCAATGCCTTTACACCTTCTGAAGTAATATTATTATAACTAAAATCCAAAAAACTCAAAAAACTTTCTTCCGATAAATTAAGCTTATTATTACTAAGATCCAAATAAGTTAGTGTAGTGTTCTTAAATAAAGCATTTGCTAATACTTTTCCTCCTCTAGAATGAATACTATTAGCACTAAGATTTAAAGAAATTAAAGTAGTGTTCTTGCACAGAGCCTCTGCTAATGCTTTCATTCCTTCAGAAGCAAAAATAGCTTGGCCAAACATCAAAGGCTGAGCTTCCCTCACAGAATTAAGTTTATTATGACTAAGATTTAAAGAGGTCAGTGTAGTATTTTTGCATAGAGCATCCGCTAATGCTTTCCCTTCTTCAGAATGAATATCATTAGCACCAAAGTTTAAAGAAGTCAGAGTAGTATTTTTGCGTAGGGCATCTGCTAATGCTTTTCCTCCTGCTAACCGAATTCGATTACAGTTAAGATCCAAAGAAGTCAGAGTAGTATTCTTTCGTAAAGCATCTGCTAATGCCTTTCCTCCATCAGAACAAATTTCATTGTGGCTAATATTCAAATAAGTCAAAACGGTATTCTTAAAAAGAATTTCTGCAAAAAATTTTCCACCTTCTAAACCAAATTTATTATTACTAAAATTCAAAGAAGTCAGGGTAGTGTTCTTGCAAAGAACTTTTACTAATTCTTTTCTTTCCACAAAACCGAGTTGACTATAACTAAGATTCAAAGAAGTCAAAATATCATTATTGCAAAGAATCTTTAATATTGCTTTGAACCCAGAATAATTTTTGATCTTATAATCAATAGAGACAATGGTCGTATTTTTATAAAGATTTTCAAATATAATTTTATTATAACTCATTTCTCCAAGTTTTAAGTATTTAAGTTTATTACTTGTTCGTAAGAACATTGAAATAAAAGAATATATAATGGTGTTTTCAAGATTATTTGTAATGTTCCCAAAATGATCTGTAATGATGTTTCCAAGATTTAAAACTCTTTCATTATTTCCATTATAAATCCAATTTTTGATTCCACTATGTAAACCATAACCAACAGATATAGTATAACTTGTATATTCGAATAATGGTTTTGGATAATTTGGAAGGTTAATTTTAAAAGGAATTAATGATGCTTGTTCTTCGGAATTTAACATTAAAAGATATATTTTTAAAAGCCTTTCATCACAAATATCATTTGTTGGTTCGCTCCATAATATTGGTACAACTGTTCTACACCATTGACGATTTACAAGAAGACATGAAAATAAACTTTTATAATGAGTATTGAAATTATTAATTATATTAAAAAGTAATTCGCTTGGTAGTGGTATCATTTTAAAAGGAATTTAATTTTAATACAACGTACCGGTACATATGCGTAAAAATCCGAAATTTATATAGAAATATTGAATGTCGTGAAACGTTTTGCCCAATTATGGGATTCCTCGTTGTACCTCATACTTAAAATTACCTGGCCTAAATTAGGATTAGAATTAAGTAAGGATATAGGTATAATTTAGGCTAATCAGTGATGAACAATTGATGCCGACAAAACCATTGTTACTATCGAAGTTTCAGTAAGTAAGGAACAGAGTTTAGATCAGCGATAACAATCAAAAGGAACATCGGGTGAATGATAGAACTTATAGGAGAAATAAATATGAACAATGCAATAGTTGATAAGGACGTCAATGTCCGTATGATGATGTAATTAATGCAAGGACGATGTTGAATGGTCACTAAGCAGTTTAATGATAGGTTA